AAAAAAAAAAAAAAAAAAAAAAAAAAAAAAAAAAAAAAAAAAAAAAAAAAAAAAAAAAAAAAAAAAAAAAAAAAAAAAAAAAAAAAAAAAAAAAAAAAAAAAAAAAAAAAAAAAAAGATTTAAAAAATACCTAGTTTGAATTGTAAATACAAGCCAAGAGTGAGATCTTTTTTTTACCTAATGACATTCCAGCCTTTGCAAGCATATAATTTTTACAGAAATATTTGACCAGACAAATTCTAAGAGACAATATATAAACTTTCCTGTGATAATTTAGAAAAGAGATCCTGGCAGACCACAAAGCTGAGGGAAACAGATGATAACTTTCTACAACTATAAATTACAGGCATTTGTTTATTTCTATTTAGCATTTCCGCTGCCTGCTGCATGCTGATGATGTGAATTGGATGGATAGATGTTGACTAATCTGTAAACACTGTAATTGGCTTCTGAAAAAAAATTGTATGCCAGGGTTTTATCCTCAATTAAGTCAAGTTTTATGAACTTAATTCCTCACTATTGTTTGCTGCCAAAATAAAATTATCAAAGCCTTTGTTCGTTGACACATTGTGAACAATTACAGGGCTGTTTATGAGCTCCAGTCTGGAATTTCGTGATGAAATAGCCTCTGCTTCAAGGGTTAGTTTGCAGCATCACTTTGCATTTTGACAGTGTTTTCCTTGGGAAAATGTCTTAGGTCTGAATACTGCAAGTTTATAAGTTTTACCTAATTTCTGTCATTTTGAGAAGCAAGTGAGAAAATCCACAAGTTGAGAAAATTGAATATTGAGGGAGCTTTCCTCACACTTTCTGTTATGCAGAGCCACAGTAGAGATGCAGACAGTGTGTGTCTCATACTGCCCTGTATGCACCTGGTAGTAGTTTTTATTACACCTGCTGAGGGATCAACAGCAATCAACATTCTGGTAACAACTTCAGTTTTTTTAAGGAGTCTGGTTTTGTTAGTTACATCCCAGTGAGTTAAGAAAAATTTACCCAGTGTCCAACGAAATTAGCTCTTAAAATTAAATGTAAAGAGGGAGACTGATGGTCAGGGTGATCACATGTTCATAGGTGCAGTTAATTAGGCTTCATATTTAGTTAAAAATAGCAGGTATGCATTAATATGGCAACTTAAGACAACAACAGTGCAATAAGAAGGGGAAAAATTAGCTTTACAAGATTAGACATCTGCCTCTATCAACATCCATCCATCCCTCCTCCAGACTGCCTTTGCCATTTTGCCATATGCTGCCTTCTATTTTCTCTTTGCTTACAGGGATGGCAAGTTTTCAGGAGATAAAATCATCTAATAAGTTTGTTCTGGAGAAAATGGATAAATAATCAAAGGAATTCTATGCTGATTTTGATTTTATTATGAGAAAGATAAATTGAACATACCTTTAGTTTTATAATAGGTTTTGCATTAGAAGTAGTGCTTTTTCTCAAAGATATGAAGAAAGGCAGTATTTCTAAAAATACCACAAAAAGTTTGCTATTGGTTCTCAATACCTAACTAAGGGGTCTGAGGAAATACACTGAGTTTGCTTCACATACATATCCTACACATAGTAATTTAAATTCCCAATCTGTTGGGGAAATTTAATTCTGTGTTTTACATGCTTACTTCAAATTCTTTTTTTTTTTTTTCTTGAGCAGGAAAAGTATCAGAAATATTATTTAAGTGCATGAAAGCATATTAATAGGATAAACATCTTTCTTTACACTGGCTGAAATGAAAAATTTCCCATGTTAATATGAGTTAAATTAAAAGGTGAAAGTGCATATTCAATATTCACTTTATCTGCATTATTTCAGTTTATCTATTAGGTACACAGGAAATTCTTTCCACCCAGTGTGGTACTTCTGCATCCTGATGAAATTCACTCACAGGGATTTAAATTTGTTGTATTTGAAAAGGTTAAATTCTATAAAAGATATTTTTCAAGCCTCTAATGATGATGATTTGGTGCGTTTTGCATATTTATATAAATTTTTCCATCTATCAGCTTTTTTGGTGTTTTTCATTTGTTGTCGGTTTTGTTTTGTCAGGATTTTTTTGTTGTTGTTATTCTTTGTTTTTTTTTTTTTCTCTTCAGCTCTCTATTTATTCTATTCTATTCTATTCCCTGTCAGGATATTCAGATAAGTTTCTATTAAACCTTGACTAATCCAGTTCCCTTTTAAGAGATAGCTAGGTGAAGAGACTGATATTTTTAAGTACTATGTGGCAGAAAGTTTCTAATCTTTTAGGTAAAATGTCCC